ACAGGGCGGTTTTACAAAAGTCGATCTGCCCATTTGGTCCCTGCTGGTCCAGCCTAATTTCAGTCCATATAGGGCTGGCTTAAAGTGGCTGTAAACCCTTACATATACCCAGTGAAGTGACTGTCCTTAGGTGATACACAGAGAGGAAACAAATCCTCCTACGTAGGTTGTACCAGTTTATTTGTAGCCATTCGTCCTGTACATCCTTGTAAATCTCAGAGATAAAAAGGATTTTTCACAGACTCACAAAAACAGGGGGTGGGGAGCTGCAGTTACACACTGTACAAGAGCTCTGAGAGCTGATTGGAGGGAAGGAACACATCCCCTTCACACAGTACACAGGAACAGAGCTGAGGCTGTCGATCAGCTGGAGATCCCTCACCGTCACCATTTTTCTCTTGGTGTCAGGAACACTTGTCAGAAGTGACTCATGCTACTAACAGAGGAACTAGACAACACAGAGAAATAAAACTCAGTGCTTTGGAGAGAAGCAAGTATACACTATAGAAATATTTGCCTTGTTCGGATTTCATGTCTCAGGTTTACAACCACATGTTTGTGGCTTTGGGGGCTTTCATCTAGTAGCTATGCTGGGCAAAGCAAAGGTTAAGTTTAAGTCACATTTACAAATATCTTTGATTACATGACTGGCTGTAGATAATGGTATTTTTTTTTTTCTTTCAATTTACTTGTCATTTCAGTTTTTTCACAGTCCACAATACACAGAACTAAAGAACAAAAAACATTATCTGTGCACTTAATCTTTCCCAACCCACTCCCTCTGTAACACTGTAATAATTAATACTTAAAAGCAGTAAAAAAAAAAAAAAAAAAAGGCTAATGTGTTGTCAAAATTATATATTTTGATGGCTAAATAAAACAGAAAAAAATATTGCAAGTTTCAATAGCAAATGGCAGAATAATGGATACACCACATCAAAAAGATGTTAACTTTGTGGTAACTAAAACAAAATCCCAAACAATTGCAAATGCCACTTTTGTCACAATTTTGACATGAGTTTCCAAGCAATATTGAGTAACTAACAGTTCCAAAGAGGTGAAATAACCCACATTACAAATGCATCAGTTAAAAAATATGTTTCAAGAAGAACCGTGCAAAAGAAGACAAACATATACCAATTATAGATAAATTACATTCGCAAAGAGAAACTTTGATCTTAAATCAATGCCCTATGCCAAGGTTTAAATGGATATTTAACGAGATCGCTACCTAATGCCATGAAAGTACAGCCTGCAGGATAACCACAGGATTGAATCTGGACCTCTATGCTTATGTCTTGCCAAAATCTGTGTTATGGGTTTTTATCAACCGTTTTATTAAACCATTGATTTTCAAGGCCAAGATATATAACTTTGAGGAATATAGCATGCGAGGTGCTCCTTACACAGACAAGTTTTATGTTTGGATAAACCTGAAGAACACCCTCTCAATCTCATAGGGAGTCTTGTCATCCCGAACTGGGCACTGGAAACTCAACAAGTCCCTTATCCAAGGCCGTCCCCTTAGAGAGGAATTCCAAGACACGCTCGCAAAATATTTATTATATAATAAAAATACATCTACATCCCCCGTAATGGTGTGGAAAGATCATTCGTGTATAATGCATAGAACAGTCATAGAGAAGGGTTCCTCACTGAAGAAACGATGCAGGAATTTGCAAAAACCCTAAACCACATTCATGCACTTAAAGTGCAACATAAAAAGCCTCCAGCGCAGGAAGTAGCCATCAAACTAAGATGCTGCTTAGCACTGAAACCCAGTATGACAAATATAGGCGAATCGTCTATGAACATAGTAAAAAGACAAGCAAAGCCAACCCATTGAGAGAAAACTCCCTCAGAACTTCTTTTTCATGTGTAGACTTGAGCAAAGGCACGAAAGACATTGTATACTTATTCAGAGATATTACAAAACATTGTGTGACCTCCCAAAACAACTAATTTACCCAACGCATCACTGGGCCATCAGAAAATCACTGACTCTGTTACTACTTTTAGACTTTTGCTTCCATTCTGCAGGCTGATATGGATGCTCCATTTACAACGTACAAATTCCTAATTGTGGTTAAGAACTGAAGCCTGGAAAGGCACCCTCCCCAAATGACTTTATGGGTAGATATTATAAAGATTTGCTCTGACTCTCTCCTCCAGATTTGTAGCTGCCCTCAGTTCCATCTTGCAAAGCCATACTATCCCAATACATGCATTAGGGTTGATCCTTCCCTTCATTGGGTATTACAGATGTATGAGCTCTCAGTTGGGTTGATTTACCGAAGGCAAATAGACTGTTCTCTTTGGAAGAAAAGTTGCACTTTGCAAATTAATTTTCACCAGAGCTTCCAGCATCCAATAATGTGCACACAAAAAATGTGGGGTTTCTTGTATCTGAGTATGCTTTGCATAGTAAAACTTCACCACATTTCACGAATCTCTGGGGCAAATTTCCTTGTAAGTGAACAGCCTGTTTGCCTTCAGTAAATCAACCTCACTGAGAGCTCATCTGTAATACTTAATGAAGGGAAATATCTCACCCAATGTGCAAACTACAGACCAATATGCCTTCTAAACACTGATGACCAAAAATCTTCTCCAATACAATGTTACCCTATCTGCAAACAATAATCCAGCTAGGCTTTATGCCAAATAAAGATATGAACAATAATATCATGGGAGTGATAAATGCCATCCACTGTGCCCTGTCCCAAAACATCCAAATGTGCTTTCATAGGGTAGATTGGACATTCTAATCTCCACTATTTTGACATATTAAATTTGGCCCTAATGTGAAAATGTGTGGAAGCAATCTACTGTCCTCCTACCGCAGCCCTCTGAGCAGCTCTGTTTGCCTTCTTCCCTCTTGGCAACAGGATGAGACAGCATTGCCCCTTATCACCATAATGGGCAATGTATGGTGATAGTACTTTGCCATTATTAACTGGGGTACAAGGCTCAGTTCCAGCCAAGGATGACAGTTGTTCGTTTTGTATGGGTTTAAGTTCATACAGTCTGACAAAAATGGGACTTTTGTGTATTTGTCTGTGACTGGGGGCCTCAAGGAGAATCGGTTTTCTATTTATTCAGTTGAAGAACACACTGTTAGTGCTTTCATTGATCAGATTAGAGCTGCAATAAAGAGGTAACTTCATGAGATGTATATGCAATTTATTTTACTTGAAACAGGCTGGGGGGGGGGGGGGGTCGTAGATCCTCTTTGCTGTGCTCTGGAATTTTTTATTTTGTTTGTCTATTATGGGTATGGCCTTTATATTGTTTTTGTACTTTAACATGGTGCTGACTTAAAGTCCACATAGATCTAATCCTGTGTGTAGAGTTGTGGGTTTGTACCATTAGGCAGGTGCATTGTCTTGTGCATTTTCTTTGCGCATTGACATAACATTATTGAAATACGTTAACGGACATTTCCAGATTGTTTTTGAAGTAAGGCTTTGGAGTGGATAGAGTGAACAATCATTGTAAATACTTGTTGCCAACTCCTCAAAATGCATATGTCATAGAGTTTAATGTTGCCATTGACTTTCTATGGGCCTCCCAATGCACTAAAATGCACAAGAAATTGACATGTACCTTTCAAAACACATTGCAGAGGTGAGATAGGAACAGATGCTAATTATACCATAGGGAACCACAACACATACATTTTGTTGAATGTGTTTAAATACTTGTGCCAGGGACCTTTATTGTTACAGGGATCATAGAAGCATTGATGAGGCAATGGGCATTTGGTTTTACATGGATCATAAAAGCTAAGCACTGGTGAGACAATGGGCTTTTGGTTTTACGGGGATCATAGAAGCATTGGTGAGTCAATGAGCCTTTGGTGTTATAGGGATCATAGAAGCATTGGTGAGTCAATGGGCCTTTGGTGTTACAGGGATCATAGAAGCATTGGTGAGTCAATGGGCCTTTGGTGTTACAGGGATCATAGAAGCATCGGTGAGTCAATGGGCCTTTGGTGTTACAGGGATCATAGAAGCATCGGAGTCAATGGGCCTTGGTGTTACAGGGATCATAGAAGCATCGGTGAGTCAATGGGCCTTTGGTGTTACAAGGATCATAGAAGCATCGGTGAGTCAATGGGCCTTTGGTGTTACAGTGATCCTAGAAGCATTGGTGAGGTGCTGATGTGTGGTTTTTGTGCTGTAGGATTTTGTAAAGAACTGTGGAAATACTTGTGAGTTTTTCATCATCACAATGAAAATGTGGATATCCAATGGATAAGATGGCGTCTGAAAGACAATAGGCTCAATTCACTAAGCTATAATGCAGATGTAATATAGTTCCTTTTAGCTATATGAGTGTTGGTTTCAGGTCTTGGTGCTGGAAATGTTTCTCCTTATTGCAAATAATAATGGTCATAGCTTAGTGAACTTTGTATTTGTATCATACTTGTATCATACCCCAGTGCATGCTCTGCATTAATGATGAGACAATACAGGCTTATGCATTCCCATTTATTCACCAAAATCCTCCATCATTTCTAGTGAAAAAGGTTGTTCATTTAGTCTTTCAAAGACCTCTTCAAAACTGGCCCAGCCTATAAAATGGCTGTCTGTAGGTGTGAACAGGTTGGCCCACTCCCAATGACACCAGCCTTTACAATGCTTTATTATTGCAGAAAGAGATCATCGAAGAGTGCCGGAATCTAGTCCTGAAATGATAAAGCTTTGTGAAAGCTGAGGTTGTTGGAGTTCGGACAACATGTTTACTCCATGTAGGAAGCATTGATGATCTCCATCGGTCGGCACCTAAAACCACAGAGACTTGCTGGCATTGAGCTGTAGTTCGTTTTACTGCTATTTTCTGTAGGTGACAGGAACACTTTAAATGGAGCGGAATTCACTGCAGATCAATTTGAATAGCTAAGCTTTTGTGGAAAAAAAGACACAGTTGGGAAGGTTTTTAACACTCATCTCCCGTTATTGTGATCTATTTCAGGTTTGTTCCTAGAGCTCCCAGGGATGAAACTGAAGAAGCAGGTTACTGTGTGTGGAGCGGCCATCTTTTGCGTGGCCGTCTTCTCTTTGTATCTTATGCTGGACAAGGTGCAACACGACCCTCCCAGGAGACAGAACGGAGGCAACTTTCCCAGGGTACGAAGAGATGTTATCACTGCTTAGCCATTAAATGTTACCACGTAATTGCATGAAAGACTTTTTTTTTAGAGAATGAATGAAGGTCAGTGGCTTATGGAGCTACGACAGGGATATTCTTTCAGCCTCTCCTAAAATGCCCTCCTCCTATGGCAATGCCTATTTATATATTCTGCATTATACAGCTATAAAATATTTACACTGTAGCATGGATTTTGGAACTCCTGTATAATTACATTCGCCTCATAGCATCACTGTAAGAGTCTAGGCAAGCTTTTGGAAATGATGCATTTGTGACCTTCACTGTTTCCACTTAAAACAGCGTCTAATCTCCATATTTCATTTTCATGGAGCAGTGACACATTTTCTGCTGTGATGTGTGTGTTCTCTTACATAATGCCTGTTTTTTCATACACCTCTGCCTGACCTCTTTTCTTATTGTACGGCAAGAGAAGCTTGATGCTGAAGTTTCATACTTGACACAGCAATTAAGATTTGGTATAGGGTGCAGTTGGAGGACAGTAAATGTTTTACTCCTGCATTGCACTAAGACTTTCAAAGAGAAATTGCTTCCATAAAGCACGGTTTGTCTGCTGAATGTATTTTCAAAAGGGTATTAAAGAACAGCTGTACATAAATTACATTCTTTTTATAAAATGGTTTATATAACGAAGTTTTAATAAAAGTCTCAAGTAAATATGTTTTAGGATAGTGGAAAAATGGGAGATATAAAAATTTGAGGCTATATTGGAGATGTTGGCTTTTCTGTGAACAGCAGACTCTCTGTTAAAGAGACCCTCTACATCTGGACAGCAATGTACCGTAAGGTGTCACATTGAGATGGTCTAGCATCCTCTTCTCAGCCCTGGGGCTGGTAATAGGTCACTGTCAAGTTGGGTTGGGGAAGAAATGGCACTATTTGGCACCTTATGGTGCTTAAGGGTTTTTTTTTTTAGTTACAGCTGCCAGCTCTTATTTTGCTATATCCTTGCCTAACATAGCAACCACTGTAAAGCAAAGCTACATAACAGATATTCTGTATTCTGTGCAAATTAATTCACAGTTACGTGCATTGTGTTGTAGCAGTTTCACATATTACTTTTTCTAACAATATGCAAAGAGGTCCTTTGAATTTAAGTTCTTCATTTTCAAAGTAGCCTCCATGGCTGGGGAAAAAAAACTGTGTTGCCCGGACAAGCAAGCAGATCTATCTTTCTTGAGTGATGTTCATTAAAAATCAAAGAAAGTTTAATGGTGTATATAGGCAATGCGGTTCTTTTACATTCCTGTGTACATGAGGTTATGATTGTCCTTTAAAAATGGAGTTCAGATCCAATGGGTGCTGGTCATACAGTCAGGTCCATAAATATTGGGACATCGACACAATTCTAACATTTTTGGCTCTATACACCACCACAATGGATTTGAAATGAAATGACCAAGATGTGCTTTAACTGCAGACTGTCCGCTTTAATTTGAGGGTATTTACATCCAAATCAGATGAATTACAACAGTTTGCATATGTGCCTCCCACTTGTTAAAGGACCAAAAGTAATGGGACAATTCACTTCTCAGCTGTTCCATGGCCAGGTGTGTGTTATTCCCTCATTATCCCAATTACAATGAGCAGATAAAAGGTCCAGAGTTCATTTCAAGTGTGCTATTTGCATTTGGAATCTGTTGCTGTCAACTCAAAGAGCTGTCACTATCAGTGAAGCAAGCCATCATTAGGCTGAAAAAACAAAACAAAAGAGATAGCAAAAACATTAGGCATGGCCAAAACAACTGTTTGGAACATTCTTAAAAAGAAGGAACGCACCGGTGAGCTCAGCAACACCAAAAGACCCGGAAGACCACGGAAAACAACTGTGGTGGATGACCGAAGAATTCTTTCCCTGGAGAAGAAAACACCCTTCACAACAGTTGGCCAGATCAAGAACACTCTCTAGGAGGTAGGTGTATGTGTGTCAAAGTCAACAATCAAGAGAAGACTTCACCAGAGTGAATACAGAGCGTTCACCACAAGATGTAAACCATTGGTGAGCCTCAAAAACAGGAAGGCCAGATTAGAGTTTGCCAAACGACATCTAAAAAAGCATTCACAGTTCTGGAACAACATCCTATGGACAGATGAGACCAAGATCAACTTGTACCAGAGTGATGGGAAGAGAAGAGTATGGAGAAGGAAAGGAACTGCTCATGATCCTAAGCATACCACCTCATCAGTGAAGCATGGTGGTGGTAGTGTCATGGCGTGGGCATGTATGGCTGCCAATGGAACTGCTTCTCTTGTATTTATTGATGATGTGACTGCTGACAAAAGCAGCAGGATGAATTCTGAAGTGTTTTGGGTAATATTATCTGCTTATATTCAGCCAAATTCTTCAGAACTCAATGGACGCCGCTTCACAGTGCAGATGGACAATGACCCAAAGCATACTGCAAAAGCAACCAAAGAGTTTTTTAAGGGAAAGAAGTAGAATGTTATGCACTGGCCAAGTCAATCACCTGACCTGAATCCGATTGAGCATGCATTTCACTTGCTGAAGACAAAACTGAAGGGAAAATGCCCCAAGAACAAGCAGGAACTGAAGACAGCTGCAGTAGAGGCCTGGCAGAGCGTCACCAGGGATGAAACCCATCGTCTGGTGATGTCTATGCATTCCAGACTTCAGGCTGTAATTGACTGCAAAGGATTTGCAACCAAGTAATAAAAAGTGAAAGTTCGATTTATGATTATTATTCTTTCCCATTACTTTTGGTCCCTTAACAAGTGGGAGGCACATATGCAAACTGTTGTAGTTCCTACACCGTTCACCTGATTTGGATGTAAATACCCTCAAATTAAAGCTGACAGTCTGCAGTTAAAGCACATCTTGTTTGTTTCATTTCAAATCCATTGTGGTGGTGTATAGAGCCAAAAATGTTAGAATTGTGTCGATGTCCCAATATTTATGGACCTGACTGTAGATTATCTGCATTGGCTAGGATTCAAAGGAATAGTCTCATGCACACTAGGCCTTTAAAGCCTCTGAGCCTAAGATTCTGGCATTTTTGTGAGGGTGAAAGGTGCACCTTCCAACCCCTCTGCTGGCAGCCTGTAAACATTTGAGAGGCTAATGCTGCTGTGGCCAGACATGGTTGAATGGTCCACCAAGTGATACTAATGTTTAGGGAAGTATACACCCAGTGATGAATGCCCGGAACGCAGACTTCTGGGTGATGACCTGTATTAGTACTGGCTGCACTGGGACACAGAAAAAATTGTTCAGTGTTCCACATGCTTCATTTTAATAAAATTGATGATCTGGTCATTAAAAAAAAATATATAAGTGCTGGCACATCGGCAACTTGCTTCTGAAAAAGGCTTGTAATATGCTCAGGGCAAACTGAAGGTGAGAGTTGTGGGAAAGAGAAAGGAGTAGCCCCCTGACTCAGTTGCCTTTTTTTTGTATCCTAACATCATCATATCTTTATTATCTACTTTCTGCTACTGCATCATTATCAGCTTTGGAAAGCATTCCAAGCAGGAATAAATGTTTGCTGCATTATGGGAGAACTGTTAGAGCAGCCTTTCTCAACCTTTTTCACATAGAGCAACCCTTGAAAGAGCATTCAGTTTTCAACCCCTGCTAATAAGTATGTCTGCAGCTCACAGAATGTTGTAATAGTTAATTGGAATTATCTGAAAAATTGCTCTCTGCTTAAGGGAGCCCTAGCAACCTCTAGAGGAAATTTAGGGTTCCACAGAAACCTACGTGAGAAATTCTGTTAGAAGACAATACTAAGCTGTATAATTGAGAATCTCGAACAGGATCTCTTTTCTTTCCAGGATTGGCTATATGCCCATTATTTATTATGTTTTAGGACTTGGCTCCTTTCAAGATTTTCCACTAGAGTTATCAAATAGAAGAATTTAAACATTTTGCCTGTTTTCTCCAAAATATAGAGCCAGATTTCTGTCCTGCAGAACCGGATAGAGCAACTCGAGCAGCTCTTGGAGGAGAACCATGAAATCATCAGCCACATTAAGGATTCTGTTCTAGAGTTAACAGCAAATGCAGATGGACAACCAATCCTGATCCCGTATCACACGCCTAATGGGAGTTGGGTCATTCCACCAGACCCTCGGCCCAGCTTCTACTCTATATCACCCCAGGACTGTCAGTTTGCTGTATTAAGTAAAGGCAAGAAAACCGATTTACAGGTAAAAAAAAATATACTTTTTCCTGAGTTGAGAAATATATATTTAACTGTTTTAAGTCAATTGCACAGGTCTGCGACTAAAAAGCTGTTTGATTATTTTCATCTAATTTCCATGTATTTTGGTGTGCTGAAAACAAATAAAATATTGAAAAAACTCCTAGACGTAATGATTTGCCACAAAATGCAAAATTGTCTTCAGATTTATCAATTTTTTTTGGTATTTTTTTGGTATTTTTTTTTTATTATGGGTTTTTAACCAAATTTAAGGTCCAAATTACTATTAATTCACATAAGTGCATTTAAGATATAAAATGCAAAAAAAAAAAACCTTAAAGGGGTTCTCCGAGTTATGTAAAAAAAAAAAAAAAACATAGCACTGTATATCTGATGGTCAGCAATATATACATAAGCTAAGCAAGTTTTAGGGGAAAAAAAAATCTATTTCCTCATTTCCCTAGTTCTTTTCTGGCCCTTTGTTGTTATTTTCAGGTAAACAATCTCTGCCCCCCTTCCCCCCCGCAAAGGGGGTGAATACAAGTGCTGCTCTGAGTGACATGTCTGACTATTGGGATACTCAGCAGCGTGCTGTATGTGTAAGCTTCAGCCCTGAGTCTGTGCTTCTAGTGGTAGAAGGGGTTAATCTTTCCTGAAGAATCCAGTGGGAGGGAGACACAGGGCAGATAGCAGCAGCTCCAGTCAGTGCAGGGGGCATGGCCAGCACTGTGACATCTCGGTGACAGACACAGAGCGACTCTCTCCTGCAGTCCACACTTGTGCATGAATCTTCATCAGGTTCTTGGTTCTAGGCTGTTCACACTTTTTCATCGCAGTTCGTGTTAGCTCCTCATGCGTCAACCGTTATGGCTCCGCAAAAGTGTATTAATTCGCCAGACCATTTCTGTTTCATCTGTGGTGAATATACAGTGTTGAAGCAACAGCAGAATACTACAGACTTTGTGAAAAAAGTATACTTTGCATACTTTGGACTAAAAATTGGAGATCAAGATAAAGTTTGGGCGCCTCATAAAGTGTGCAAACGGTGTGTTGAGGACCTCTGAAACTTGTTCAAGGGTAAGAAAAAAATCTTTCCGTTATGGGATTCCTATGGTATGGCGAGAGCAAAAGAACCATAGTGACGACTGTTACTTTTGTTCATGCGATGTGAAAGGGTTTAATTCCAAATGGAAGCATTCCATTTCATACCCCAATCTTCACTCAGCAATTCATCCCATCCCCCATGGCACAGATATACCAGTACCCAAGCCCCCTGCTACCTTGGAAGAGATACCTAGCTCTGATGAAGGTGAAGTCATACCTGAACCAGATGACGAATCAAGTTCTGACTTTGAAGATGATACAAGACCAAAATTGTTTTCTCAGGAAGAGATGAATGATTTGGTAAGAGACTTGAATCTTCCCAAAGATGCCGCTGAGTTACTCGGATCAAGGCTGAAAAGCAGAAATTTATTGTTGTCAGGAGTGTCATCTTCATGATTCAGACATCGTGAAAAGGAGATTGTTCCTTACTTCGCCCAGGAAGACAAGTTGGTTTATTGCATCGATATCGAAGGTCAATTTTAAAATCCAGTATGATTCAGAGCAATGGCGTCTTTTTATAAATTCTTCAAAAAGAAGTCTCAAAGCAGTTTTACTCCACAACGGTGGTTTTTACGCTTCCATACTTGTAGGTCCTTCCGTACACTTGAAGGAAACCTACGAGAACTTGGAATTGGTTCTTCGTAAACTTAAATATGAAGACCATGGTTGGCAAGTGTGTGGGGACTTGAAGGTCTTGTGCATGCTGCTCGGGCAACAAGCTGGGTACACCAAATACCCTTGTTTTCTGTGTCTATGGGACAGTCGAGACTGACAAAATCACTGGACCAAGGTTGGCAGCCGAGGGTGCTAACAGTCAGTGAAAAAAGTGTCCTCTGAGAAACTTTGGTACCTTCCCATAAAGTTCTCCTACCACCTCTCCACATAAAATTGGGATTGATGAAGCAATGCCTAAAATCACTTCCAAGAGATGGAGAATGCTTCAAATACTTGGTCACCAAGTTTCCAGGCCTGTCGGAGGCAAAATTGAAGGAAGGTGTGTTCGTCGGACCAGACATTAGAAGGCTTATAGTTGATCAAGAGTTTGTCAATACCATGACGGATCCTCAAAAAGAAGGATGGATTGCATTTAAAGAAGTTGTACAGAAATTTTTAGGCAATAACAAAGATCCTCACTACAAAAAGATCGTCGGACAAATGCTGAAAGCATTTCAAGCTTTAGGTTGCCTGATGATTTTGAAAGTGCATTTCCTAAAGTCCCACCTCCTGAAAATTTGGGAGCTGTGAGTGAGGAACAAGGTGAACGATTCCACCAAGACATTAAAGAGATGGAAAGGAGATACCAGGGAAAATGGTGCATTACAATGATGGCAGGCTACTGTTGGATGCTTCATAGAGACATTCCAGATGCTACTCACAAGCGTAAATGCACCAAGAGGAGCCTCACAGGGAAGAAGAATCGAGATTAGTGTGTGTAGGTGAGCTCATTTCAGTTCAAAAAAGGATTTTCATGAAAAAATTGTAATAAAACTTTAATTTTATAAGTCATTTTCCATTTATTTTGAGGTATTGCCTTATTTTAACAATTACCTAAATTCTCAGGAAACGTGATGTCCTATGACAAAATGGGGGTCATTTTCGGATTCAGTGCACCAAAAAACATAAAGATTATGTGGAATAACCAAAACCGCTCTTGAGAAAAATTTTTTTGCAGACCTGTGTTATTCTTTTTAATGAGAACAGTACGCATACTTTGGAAATAACCAACTCCCTTAGTTTTTAAGCTTTAGAAGGCAGACTATACCACCTGAATCATTGTTACATTGTTGATCCTCGTAACGTTAGAACTTTCCATAAACTTATAGAGCACAGTGGAATAGGCTGATGCTGTATAGCAGAGATACTGAATTAAAATTCACGGAGGTCCGGTTGGTAACATTTTCTTTCCTCCAGAGGTCCAAATCTCATTTTTTTTTCTATGACTCGGGGCTTTTCCATCACAGCCCCCCTTACGTCACAACTCCCTTCCCCATTAGAGGCCCTCAACATTAAAGCCCTGCTTACAACACAGTCGTCCTTGCAATCACAACCCCCACAGCACAGCTCCCCCCCCCCCTCTCGATATCACAGCCCCCTTTCAATCACACCACAGACCCTTCATATCATAGCTCCCCCCTCTTACATCCAAGCCCCCCATATCACAGGTCCCCCCTCTCATATCACAGCCCCCATATCACATCTCTCCCTTACATCACAGCCCCCGATATCACAGCTTCCCCCTCACATCACAACCCCCCCATAATCACATCTCCCTCTTACTACATCAAAGCCCCCCCATATCACAGCTCCCTCTTACATCAGAGCCCCCCTTACAGCAGAAACACCCATATCAGAGCTGCCCCCTCACATCACATCACAGCCCCCCCCCCTCACATCACATCACAGCCCATCCAACTCGCAGATCCCTCTCTCACATCACAGCCCTCCCCCCTTCTGACATCACAGCTTCCCGCATCACAGATCCCTATATCATAGCACAGCACCCCTATTTCAGAGCTTCTCCCTCACATCACAGCCCCCAGTGTTTATAGCTCCCCCCAATTACACCCCATTTCACAGCTCCCCCCTCAAGGCCTCCCATTTTACAATGCCCTCCCTCTCTTCACAGCCCCCCAAATCACAGCTCTCCCCTCTGACATCAAAGCCCTCCTCTAATCTTCCCCCTACCTTAACTCAATAGTGTGCAGGTCAGAAGGAATGTCAGAGTGCAGTCCTCTTCTGAATGTACTTGTCGCCGTCAAACTCACTGCAGGAAGGAGGGTGGGAGGAATGGTAGGGTGGAATTCTATGCCTCCCGCCCTCCTCCCTGCAGTGAGTTCAGCGGCGCAGTGATGCGTACACTCAGAAGAGGAGTCCACCCTGCTATTCTTCCCGCTTTCTTCCCTACTGTGATTTCAACAGTAGTGGCGACAGGACAGGTCACACAGAAGAGGAGTCCACCCTGCCTTCCCTCCCACCCTCTTTCCTGCTGTGAGTTCAGCAGCGGCAGGAAAGTACATTCAGAGGAGACGTCCACCTTGCGATTCCTCCTGCCCTTTTGCCTGCTGTGAGTTCAGCAGCAGTGGTGGCAGGACAGGTCACACAGAAGAGGAGTCCACCTTGCCATTCCTCCCGCCCTCCACAATGCTGGGATTTTTAACAGCTGCAGCAGCAGGAGGAGAGACGTCTAGGCTGCTAAGTGGTAGTCGCGGTCAGGATAGGACTGTCACTTGGTTCGTGTCCGGACTGACGTCTGCTGTATAGGGTAAACACAATCACTAATTTTAGAATCTCCACTGGTTTCTCTGTAGATTGGATTTTACAAAAGGTAGTAGGATTTTGTTTCAAGAGTTTTTTTCATTTTTGGAGGTTTTTTTTATAGCAGCTCTATGCCGTCATTTTAGATGAGGATGAGGATCATAAAATGGGGAGCAAGGGTTATAAGCAGACCATGACCTCTAGTGCTAAGTCCACTTTAACCACTTCGATACCGGTCACTTTCACCCCCTTCCTGCCCAGACAAACTTCAGATTTCAGCGCTGTTATATTTTGATTGAAAATTGCGTGGTCATGCAACACTATACCCAAATGAACGTTTATCATTTATTTGAGACCGAGCTTCCTTGTGGTAGTATTTAATTTTCACTGTTTTTTGTTTATTTTTTTGCTAACAAACAAAAAAAAAAAGGCTGAAAATTCTGAGATTATAAAAAGATGGCCCTTTTCTTAGTTTCTGTTATACAATTTTGCAAATAAGTAATTTTACTTCTTCACTGATGTGCATTGATGAGGCTGCACTGTTGGGTGCTGATGAGGCTGCACTGTTGGGTGCTGATGAGGCTGCACTGTTGGGTGCTGATGAGGCTGCACTGTTGGGTGCTGATGAGGCTGCACTGTTGGGCAGTTTTGATGTGCACTGATAAGCTGCACTGATGGGGCTGAACTGATAATTAGGGCACTTTCCTCGCACAGTAACAGGAGGAAAGGAAAGCCTGTAACTAGCAAGTCTGTTTACATGTGATCAGCTGTGATTGGAAAAAGCTGATCACATGGTAAAGGGTCACTGTGACTAGCCCTTTACTGTGATCTGTGATCACCTGTGTCCAAAGGACACAGTGGTCACAGAGCGAGCCCCAGGGATCACATACAAGGCGTGTTCTGGGAGGATGTAGATAGACTCCCTCCCCAGAACCAGAAAACCATGTTGTCGCTGTCTTTTTATTATAAATGAAGAGGAAAAGAGTAAAGAAACATGGAGATCTTTATTTCATATAGATAAACCACAAAAATGGTTTATTATGGCTGATCGAATTGAACCTTATATTCCATATCAAACAGTGAGGCTTTAGCAGCAGAATATAATCTTGTTAAAAAAAGCTTAAATGTGGTTCTCATGATCTATTGCATCTGGTTCCCTGTGTACTGAGCAATTAATAAGCACAGTACCTTTTTTTTCATTATGCCAACAAAGCTGCACGGGGGGGAACTGTTACTAAGATGCTGCTTATTAGTAGAACATTACTGCACTTAGTATCTGCTCTGGGACGCTGAATGCTACTACTGCTGTGATCTGGGTCCTGCTCAGGTTCTGTGCGAGCTGCTTCCCTGCACACTGACCCCTGAGGTTAGTGTACAGAGGGTAAGCTGCTTGTACAGGACCCAGAAGATATAGCAGTTATCACTGTAGTAGTGCTGTGTACTACGGTGATTGTCCTCTTCCCCAAAGGCCCATTAGATATTAGTTACACATACAGTCATGGCCGAAATTGTTGGCACCCTTGATATTTCTCCAGGAAATCATGTATTTCTCACGAAACGTATTGCATTAACACATGTTTTGCTATACACATGTTTATTCCCTTTGTGTGTATTGGGACAAAACAAAAAAAGGGAGGAAAGAAAAGCAAATTCGACATAATGTCACACAAACCTCCAAAAATGGGCTGGACAAAAGTATTGGCACCCTTTCACAACTGCGGATAAATAAGAATGTTACAAGCATGTGATGCTCCTGTAAACTCACCTGGGGCAAGTAACAGGTGTGGGCAATATAGAAATCACACCTGAAAGCAGATAAAAAGGAGAGACGTTCACTTAACCTTTGCATTGTGTGTCTGTCTGTGCCACACTAAGCATGGACAACAGAAAGAGGAGACGAGAACTGTCTGAGGACCTGAGAACCAAAATTGTGGCAAAATATCAACAATCTCAAGGTTACAAGTCCATCTCCAGAGAACTAGATTTGCCTTTGTCCACAGTGCGCAACATTATCAAGAAGTTTGCAACCCATGGCACTGTAGCTAATCTCCCTGGTCGTGGACGGATGAGGAAAATTTGATGAAAGATTGCAACGCAGAATAGTCCGGATGGTGGATAAGCAGCCCCAAACATGTTCCAAAGACATTCAAGCTGTCCTGCAGGCTCAGGGAGCATCAGTGTCAGCGCGAACTATCCGTCGACATTTAAATGAAATGAAACGCTATGGCAGGAAATGCTGACACAGAGACATAAAAAAGCAAGACTACAGTTTGCCAAAATGTACTTGAGTAAGCCAAAAGCCTTCTGGGAAAACGTCTTGTGGACAGATGAGACCAAGATAGAGCTTTTCGGTAAAGCACATCATTCTACTGTTTACCGAAAACGGAATGAGGCCTACAAAGAACAAAACACAGTACCTACGGTAAAATATGGTGGAGGTTCAATGATGTTTTGGGGTTGTTTTGCTGCCTCTGGCACTGGGTGCCTTGACTGTGTGCAAGGCATCATGAAATCTGAGGATTACCAAAGGATTTTGGGTCGCACTGTAGGGCCCAGTGTCAGAAAGCTGGGTTTGCGTCCAAGATCCTGGGTCTTCCAGCAGGACAATGACCCCAAACATACGTCAAAAAGCACTCAGAAATGGATGGCAAAGAAGCGCTGGAGAGTTCTGAAGTGGCCAGCAATGAGCCCAGATCTAAATCCCATTGAACACCTGTGGAGAGATCTTAAAATTGCTGTTGGGAAAAGGTGTCCTTCCAATAAAGAGAGACCTGGAGCTGTTTGCAAAGGAAGAGTGGTCCAAAATTCCGGGTGAGAGGTGTCAGAAGCTTATTGATGGGTTATAGGAAGCGACTGATTTCAGTTATGTTTTCCAAAGGGTGTGCAACCAAATATTAAGTTAAGGGTGCCAATACTTTTGTCCAGCCCATTTTTGGGGTTTTGTGTGACATTATGTCATATTTGCTTTTCTGCCTCTGTTTTATATTTGTTCCAATACATACAAAGGGAATAAACATGTGTATAGCAAAACATGTGTTAATGCAATACCTTTTTTGTGTGAAATACTTGATTTTCAGGAAAAATATCAAGGGTGCCAACAATTTCGGCCATGACTGTACATTGTGCCTAGTTGTACCAATGTAAGTATGCCTCAAACATCAAACCTGGCATTCACCTTTTTAATTCTGTTCTTAAAATCAGCTAAAATGGTGACCACTGACATTCATCACTAGCTGACCAACCAGTCTCATGTGCAGGAACCAGTACCCAGGAAGAGGTTTTTTTTTTGTTTTGTTTTTTACTTTTCCTCCCTTATTCTTCCTTTTTTTAATGGTTTTGTGTAAATCTGTGTATGCAATGTTTTTCAGATGCTGGATATTTACACACAGTTGCCTTTTGATAATGTGGATGGAGGGGTTTGGAAACAAGGATTTGACATCACATATGATCCTAATGAATGGGAGAGCGAACCTCTTCAGGTGTTTGTAGTTCCACACTCGCACAATGATCCTGGTAAGGTGAACAAATACCTTTTTGCATCATATTGTACATGCACATTCTTCATAAACCGATGTTGTTCTGTATATATTTTCATCAACATTACCTTATACCGGGTACACATATATGTGGGCTCTCGGTGGGTGACCGCCTATATGCATCCCTATTTAAACAAATGAGTGTGCCGAGAGCTTGCTCCCAGTACAGTAATCGGCGGGTACTGGAAAGCTCCTGATGCATGTTTGCGATCAAGAGTTTTCCTAACATGTGACTGTCAATTACAGCATTCACATAATCTGAATGCCCGCCTCTGGCATTTAGAGCCTCTTAAAGGGCCAGGAGGCAGCAGCAGGAAGGGGTTAAGGTACAAAAACAGTAGTATGTGCTTGAAGCATAATAGTATACATCATCAGCATTGCAGTTGGCAAGTGGAAAACCAGGTTTCCAGTGAATATAATCTAACACAGTGGCTTAAAGGTAGAACTGTGGATTGTCATGGCATAGACATGGTGTGCCATCCAACATTGTTCTGGAATAGACACGGTGCAACATCCAACATTGTTCTGGAATAGACAAATTGTGCCATTGTTCTGGAATAGACAGGGTGTGCCATCCGACATTGTTCTGGAATAGACACGGTGTGCCATCCGACATTGTCCTGGAATAGACACGGTGTGCCATCCGACATTGTCCTGGAATAGACACGGTGTGCCATCCGACATTGTTCTGGAATAGACACGGGGTGCCATCCGACATTGTTCTGGAATAGACAAATTGTGCCATCCGACATTGTTCTGGAATAGACAAATTGTGCCATCTGACATTGTTCTGGAATAGACAGGGTGTGCCATCTGACATTGTTCTGGAATAGACACGGTGTGCCATCCGACATTGTTCTGGAATAGACACGGTGTGCCATCCGACATTGTTCTGGAATAGACACGGTGTGCCATCCGACATTGTCCTGGAATAGACACGGGGTGCCATCCGACATTGTCCTAGCATAGATACGGGACGGGGTGCCATCCAACATTGTCGTGGAATAGACACGGGGTGCCATCCGACATTGTCGTGGAATAGACACGGGGTGCCATCCGACATTGTCGTGGAATAGACACAGGGTGCCATCCGACATTGTCGTGGAATAGACACGGTGTGCCATCCGACATTGTTCTGGAATAGACACGGTGTGCCATCCGACATTGTTCTGGAATAGACACGGTGTGCCATCCGACATTGTCCTGGAATAGACACGGGGTGCCATCCAACATTGTTCTGGAATAGACAGGGTGTGCCATCTGACATTGTTCTGGAATAGACACGGTGTGCCATCCGACATTGTTCTGGAATAGACACGGTGTGCCATCCGACATTGTTCTGGAATAGACACGGGGTGCCATCCGACATTGTCCTAGCATAGATACGGGACGGTGTGCCATCCGACATTGTCGTGGAATAGACACGGGGTGCCATCCGACATTGTCGTGGAATAGACACGGGGTGCCATCCGACATTGTCGTGGAATAGACACGGGGTGCCATCCGACATTGTCGTGGAATAGACACGGGGTGCCATCCGACATTGTGGTGGAATAGACACGGGGTGCCATCCGACATTGTGGTGGAATAGACACGGGGTGCCATCCGACATTGTGGTGGAATAGACACGGGGTGCCATCCGACATTGTGGTGGAATAGACACGGGGTGCCATCCGACATTGTGGTGAATAGACACGGGGTGCCATCCGACATTGTGGTGGAATAGACACGGGGTGCCATCCGACATTGTGGTGGAATAGACACGGGGTGCCATCCGACATTGTGGTGGAATAGACACGGGGTGCCATCCGACATTGTGGTGGAATAGACACGGGGTGCCATCCGACATTGTGGTGGAATAGACACGGGGTGCCATCCGACATTGTGGTGGAATAGACACGGGGTGCCATCCGACATTGTGGTGGAATAGACACGGGGTGCCATCCGACATTGTCGTGGAATAGACACGGGGTGCCATCCGACATTGTCGTGGAATAGACACGGGGTGCCATCCGACATTGTCGTGGAATAGACACGGGGTGCCATCCGACATTGTCGTGGAATAGACACGGGGTGCCATCCGACATTGTCGTGGAATAGACACGGGGTGCCATCCGACATTGTCGTGGAATAGACACGGGGTGCCATCCGACATTGTCGTGGAATAGACACGGGGTGCCATCCGACATTGTCGTGGAATAGACACGGGGTGCCATCCGACATTGTCGTGGAATAGACACGGGGTGCCATCCGACATTGTCGTGGAATAGACACGGGGTGCCATCCGACATTGTCGTGGAATAGACACGGGGTGCCATCCGACATTGTCGTGGAATAGACACGGGGTGCCATCCGACATTGTCGTGGAATAGACACGGGGTGCCATCCGACATTGTCGTGGAATAGACACGGGGTGCCATCCGACATTGTCGTGGAATAGACACGGGGTGCCATCCGACATTGTCGTGGAATAGACACGGGGTGCCATCCGACATTGTCGTGGAATAGACACGGGGTGCCATTTCACTTTGTCCTAGAATAGACACGAGGTGCCATTTCACTTTGTCCTAAAATAGACACGGGGTGCCATTTCACTTTGTCCTAAAATAGACACGGGGTGCCATCTGACAATATATAAAATGTATATTGACGGGTCACTAATGCAAATTTTTACATAATTTGAGTTGTATGCAAATGTTTGCATCATGAACTTTTTAACTTCTGCATTATATGATTCTGTTTTGTCTCAGAATTGTTCTTGTCATAGTCTGATTGGGCTTTTCGTAATCATAATTTTCCTAGTGTCCTTCCAAATTACCAAGTTTGGCAGTCTTAATGCCTGCAGCTGTCATTGTACTGCTGCAGGATTCCATCATAGAGCTCTCGCAGGGCTCAGGCTGCTACTTGGCTGAGAAATTTCAGTATTTCAATTGACATGTTTTATTTGATTTATGAAAAACAGCCATTGGCAATTTGTAGTACCCTGTTTGTATGGGCAATTTGATAGATCAAGATATAAAAGTAAACAGGGAAATAACAGCTGCTATAATTTCACATTTAAAGCCAAACTGCAAGAGAAGGAAAAGATGTGTACTGCAACTTTATAAGTATGACGCATTGGTAGCTGATGCTAGTTCACTGTATACAGCAACATTGCTGGTTCTCCAGACTATTAAAAGAAGAACTTCTCTAAAGTCTACCGAGGTTGGAGAAAAATATGGAAACGCTACTTGATTTGCAGTTGTGAAAGTGACAACGTGTTTTGCGTTGAAAGCAGAAGTGTCATAACATGCTTTTGCTTCCGCTGTGTGATGAGACTAGTAGCCAATGGGTGGGAAGCCTGACTTTTGTCATTCACTGTGTGTGCTGCTAGTATTAGAGTCATGTCAAACCTTACTGAGCTTCAAAGAGGGCAAATTGTTGGTGCCTGCTTAGCTGGTGCCTCTGTGACTGAAGGCATATACAGTTTCCAGGAAAATGCCATCTGATAAGAATAAGCGCGTTCGACAAGTGTGGAGGGAATCCAATAAGCAAAACATTCACGGGCGAGCTGCAATTGCCAAACCACTAGTAACCGATATTAAAGCGGAGTTCCAGTGAAAATAAAAAAAAATAAGTCCGCAGCTACAAAAACAGCTTGCGGCTTCACAGCCGGGTGCTCACTGCGCATACGCTTTGTGACTGGTCCCATAGTCACAGGTTCCAGAAGACTACGGGAAGGGAGGGGGGAGGACAACTTCCACTTCCGATCGCCTAGGCCGAAATTGACAGGTACCCACTGCTCCCCAAAAGTGCCAATCCTTAGCATGGGACCAGTCCTTGAAGCAGAACTGCCCCTTTTGAGTGGAGCTCCGCTTTAATGCTCAGAAGAGGAGAGAGTGGTGCAACACCCATAAATCGTGGACTATGGATCAATGGAAGACTGCAATATGGTTAAATGATGCTCCTATTCACACAGCTGGTGTTGTCAAATCATGGTTGAATTCTCATATCTTCCCCAGGTGCTGCAGGTGCCGGACCTCAATATCATAGAGCCACTATGGTTACTTTTGGAGAACAAGGCTTGAACTAGTTTTCCCTCCCCCGGCATCTCTGCGAGAACTGTTCTTTGCATAAAGAGTGGTGTCAGATTCCATTATTCACCATCCAAGACTCATATTTATCAATTCCCAGGAGAACTCAGGCCACCTTGGATGCCAAATGTGGTCCAGCACTCTATTCAATAATGATTGTGTTGTTTTACCTAGTGTTTCTATAATTTTGTCCAAAAAAAAAGCACAACCCATCTTGACTACTGTGATGCATCGAACTGCCTCCCCAATATATTGCAAGATGAATTTTACGTCCTGTGTGTGTCCACTTTTTAACAAAGCATGTTACAGCTCCAAAAAAAAGCCCTGTCTACTAATAGGCAATAGATTTGTTTTTTGTGTTTCTATATGTACAGTAAGATAAAGTAGATGAAGTGAGGGCAAACACTATATTTTTAGGTGGGTTAAGTCCTTGATTGTGAAAATAGCTGGTAACCTATTTCAAGGTACAAGTGATATGACCGTTTTGGTGACGGCTGATTTAATGTGCACTGACGCTAATGCTGGCCGAAGACAGTAGAGTGTGGTTGGATGTTCTGGTATGATCTTACTGCCTTCTGGCATCTGTGTCAGCTGTTGTGTTCTTATACAGGAATAGCCACCTTGAACTAGATTTCATGATTAGGCCTATGGAGAAAGGAGGAGTAAGTTGCATTGTAGATGTCCCCACCGACACTGGATTATCAGGACGTAAAACAACAGTATTTACATAAGCATTTCTAACTTGTCTAATCGTACTTTTCAAGCCATTTCACATGGCAGTGACTTCTTGTGTCTTATATACATTAGATTATCACCCAATCAAACCATTTTCAGTGACTGTCTTCTTATGTCTGTAAGCTTCTTTGTGATGGTTCAACCACTAATTTTCATACAGGAAGAAGAA